TGTGATGACGCGACCAAACACGGACTGAGACACACAGTTGATTTCTGAGTTTTGCTCACGGACTGAATGCCTTACTGAGTTTCCCGCTTGCTACTAAGTTCTGCATGTCTGTCTGAGTGCTGGTTGGTTTGAGTGTGTGTGTGACCCGCAAGGGCACTTGTTTGTTCGTTGGGCCGTCAGGGCCGGTACTTACCTGTGGCCGTGACATTGAGGATTGCAGCGGGGAAAAAACACTCAAGTAGCAGGTAGGCTGGTACCGCACCCTGAAGAGGTAGATGTGTGGGTACTGGAGGCCGGGCAGAAGAAGACAAAAGTGGCATTTTGAGAGGCCCAGTAGTTGTGGGCGAGGTCTAGGCGGGTACCAGTCCAACCAGTCTGAGTCTAGGGCCTGTACCGGCAATATCAGAGTCTGCAATGATGTTTCCCTCCGAAAGGGAGGAGGTACCGGTTGCTGGGAAGGCCGAGCGGCCTGGAAGTCACCGCCCAAGGGGCAAGCAGGCCGCTATATCTCCAGGCCGGGCGAAGAGCCCAGCCTCATTGTCGGTGTGCAAGTTTGGCGACACACTGGTTGGAGCGCTGGCTGGAGCAGCGCTAGCAAGAGCAGCGCTGCTGGGGAAGGAGCAAGGACACGGAGGAGGAAGAAGAGCAGGAGGGAGGGGGAGCGCCAGAGGTACTTACCTGGCTATGGTGGCAGCCATCTTCATCACCTTGGTAGGCGCTGCAGCAGGAAGACCCCAGCTGGGGTAGAGCTACACCAAGAAGCTTCGAGGCAGAGTCAGGCATGGCGGCCTGAGCTAGAGCAGCCATAGCTGTTTTGGGTTGTCCTTTGAGCATCAGGGCAAGGCCCAGTAGTCTGCCATAGCCTCAACCTATGAGAGTGAGGAGTTAGGGAGGCGGCCATGGCTATAGTGGACCTCAAGTGATACCTGCAGTAGAAGAGGAACTCGGACATTGATTCTGGATCAGCCATTCAACATTGTACTATTATTTCTTGTGTGAATAAGAGAGGAGGAGTAAAGGAGGAGGAGAGTGCTTGGCGAAGAAGAAGAGCATTATCATTTGTCATTGCTGATGTACATCATCTTCTTCTTCTTTCTTTCTTCTTCGTCTTCTTCTTCCTCTTCTTCTTCTTACCCTCTCTCTCCTCTCAAGTTTAGTCATTTCTTTCTGCAATTGGACGGCATTATACTATCTGATGAATGTGTACTTCGAAATTGGCCAGGATCATACCATATATATAGGGGTTGCCGACGTTTGGGTCTGGCCAAACTCCCGAACCCGACCGAACCTGTCGAACGTTCGGTTCCCTTTGGGGATGCGTTCGGCAATTCGGGCAGAACGTGAACCTAAAAAAAAGAAAAAAGAAAAAATAATAATAATAAAAAAATCCAGAAATTCCAAAAAATCTGGAAAAATATATGTTATGCAGAAAAATAAAACGAACAACATTTGCCTCAGTGTTACACCCGAATTCCTTACCAAATTTGAGAAAATAAAATAAAATAAAACAAATAGTAATAAGAAAAATAAGAAAAAATAAAAAGAGAATTAAAATTAGTGCGTGGGCGAGCACGTTTTCGACATCGCCATCTTCGGCAATTTTTCATTTTTTCTTGGGATAGTCAAATGCCATGAAAATTTCCAGATGTGTATTTCACATAATATAAAGCTCATAGAAAAAGTTTCAAAAAATATTAAATATTTGAGGAACCACAATAAAATAACAACAAAACTTGTCAAAAAGTGAAAAGTAAAAAAAAAAAAACACTGAGTGGCCGAGCACGTTTTGACATCGCCATCTTTGCCAATTTTTCATTTTTTTTGGCTTGGTAAAATGCCTTGAAAATTTATATGTGTGTAGCGCATGTCATACAGAACTCTCAAAAAAGAATTCAACAACAAAAAAATAATTTTTAGGCCCTGAAATAATTTTTGGCGGGGGCCAAACCCCTTCAGGTTCGGACCCCAAACGGGACCCCAAAAGCCCGAACGTTCGGGGGTCAGCCCGGGGCCCCCCGAACGTTCGGCCTGGTAACCATGTATATATATACATACATGGTTACCAGGCCGAATATATATATACCCCGAAATAATTTTTGGCCGGGGCCAAACCCCTTCAGGTTCGGACCCCAAACGGGACCCCAAAAGCCCGAACGTTCGGGGGTCAGCC